CAGCTGCGTCCAATCGTCGCAATCCCAGCCACATCCAATCAGCTCCTGTCCGCCAGTGCATAAAAACCAGTCATCTCAATCGTCCCGTCTGCATGCCAGCTGACCGTCAACCTTACACCACCCCTCATCTTCTGAAGGGGGTGCATCTGGTCCAGTTCTTCATGTCTCTTTCCAGTCCTCCAGCCCAGCCGGTCGAAGCAGATGGCCACCTGCCCTGAGCCTGGTTCTGCCGGGGGTTTCATCCTGTTTACAGGGAGTTTTTCCTCTCCACCGTCGCTCAGGATGGGAGTCTGTGATGAAGTGATTCAACACAAACTGCTGGCTTTCTCTTTTTTWAATTTATTTTTGACCTCCACCACCAGTGTTGGGCCCCAGGGGATCAAATCTCCTACCCCTAACTTAAAGCATCTCATAAGAGATTTCAGCTTCAGAGTGCTCTCGTCCTCTGACGGGGTCCGAGCACCAAACTCTAATGCTGTTTATGTCAATAATCACGTTGGTCCAGTCATGTCAATACACCTCCTAATTTCAGTCTGCCTTCGTGTGAGTCTTTCCAGGTTGAATTATTAATTGACAAATCTATAAAAAGGGTCTCGCACCAAGTTATGAATGAAAAACTCCGACTTGATCATGCAGGTGATTGTGAAACAAATTAAATTTACTCAAGTGTTGTAAGAGCCGAGCTCATCTGTACAAGTGACAAGTTAAGAGCTTAGCAGCAAACATTGAATTCTTACTTCTGGAGTTTTAGAAAAATGAAAGGACTTTTAGAGTTACATGAACTAGGATAACAGAAATTGACTCAGATCAACACTGATGCTCTTCTAGCCGGGTGTGCAGTCAAATCTATCAGTTTAAAAAAACACATCAGATTGATTCATGGCGTTCTAAGATTTGTTTCTCATTGACACAATTTCCCCCACTTTGACTGTAACAGAAAGAGAGCTTACTGCAACTAAACTCTGGAACAAATGGTTGATATTGGATGGATGGATTTATAAATACAAACTTAATTAGAGGGTCTGTGAAATTTTTGTTGTATTGATCATGCTTTGTGTGCACTTGGGTTGAACATCCAAATGCTCAGCTGCAAAGCAGACACATTGGTGAATATGTCWTGTTAATATTTTATAGTTTATTGGACTTAAGTGGGTTTATAAATGTCTTGAATTCTTGTTTGAAAGCAGCAGAGTGGAGGACTGATACCGTTAAAATACATTTTAGGTCATTTTCCCTTCTGAAGACTCAGAGCATCTTCCTGTGGAGACGAAGGATGGAAAAGAGAGATAAAGAAGAAAGGAATGATGATTGAAAAAACTGCAACTGTCCCAGAAAAACAAGATTGATGAGGAGAGAAAAAACAGAGGGAATGAAGGAGAAGCAGAGACAAACAGAGGATGAGAGAAAGTTCAAACCATCAGCAAGAGATCATTTATTATACATCAGCTCTCTGCTTTTAGTCTGCTTTGACTAAATCTTTCACATGGTCTGTTTTTTTTTTAAACACATTTCATGGGTTTTAGTGCTTCACTGTTGGCCCATCAGTCTGCTTTTCACATCACAGTTTATATCCAAATATTCAAGAAAAAGCATTATAGTTGCATATTGTTTTGTGTTTTTGACAAATACATATACAACTTGATGAAAATGAAACCATTTAACATGAGATCCATTTTTTTCAGTTTGTTTGTTTATTTATTAATTTTTGTGGCACATATAAATTGTTGAAACAACACAAAAATTGTAAAATGATGTGTAAAAAATTTCAGCCCCTGCAGGGCATTCAGGCTATGACTTTTGGTACTTCAGCAATTTGGCCACTTTTTTCCTCATTGAAAATGAATGGAGCTGTCTTCAACATCCTTAAAACTCTTGAAAGTGTTCATACATTTTTAAATTTTTTTTGTCCTGATTCTGATTTTAAAACCTATTTAATACTAATTTCAGCATCATTTGGCTTCTGTTTGGCTGATTTGAGCCTTTTCTGCTGTTTTAGCTATCATTCTGACCTCTTCAGCTGCTAATGAACTTTTTTGTGTTTATTTTTGCTAATTTCATCTGTTTGCTGTGTTTTAGCTTCCTTTTAGATTGTTTCAGCTTTTTCTGCCCGTGTCAACTTTTTGTAATCATTCAGCAAACATACTCTTTCTGTTTCTTTACACTAATTTCAGCTATTTCATCTACTTTAAAAAAAACTATTTTTAGGCTACTGCCAGCTTTTTTAGCTCTTCTGCAAAAATCTTTCAGCATCAAAAATTCACACTGCATTTTTGAAGGAAATTCACATTCTCTAGTTGGTATTAATATTAATTCATAATGTTTTTAACATTRTTTTTTTGTATGCACAGTCACACATTTAGTTATGAGTCTGGATTGGCTGAAAAGCAGTATTTTACCAGATTTAGAACAACAGTTACATAATCTTTGTGCTTCTGTTACAATCGGCAACAGTGAGTCTAAAACAAAAGGTTAAGATGGAAAACATGAGTTTGTTTGAGCAGAACAATATCCACATAAAAAGTGTGTTTTTTCACTTCATAACTAAAAGACTCAAAGGCTGACRCACGTATTCAAACAGTCATAACACGGCTTTACAAACAGGCTCGATAAAACCATCTCCAGCAGGGTTTATCTGGAAAACGGTGGTGTTTAAAGCTCTTTTWTGCCWAGTTTTTTTTCTCATATATGTAAATATCCATAATACAAGTTTTGCTAGAGTGCTGACAAGCAGCTGGTGTGTGACACTGTGTTCACTTCACCCAGACAAGAAGCAGAGCCAGAGTGTGTTTGCTCAGCCTCTCAGTTCGTTTGTCTCAMAGAGCACCTGCCTCATCAGGGTCGTCATGACCACAGAGATGACTCTGATGTGSCGCCTCATGACTGACGTCGTATGCCACCTTCATTACTACCTGATCACCTAGGAAACCACCGATCACCTGTCAGGCGACTTGGAAATTCCTGACAAATGACGGATAAAGATGAGATGAGTCACGTTAACCTTTAGGAAGAAGAAAACGTGTGGCGTTAAAGAGAGAGTGCTTGAGCTTTTTATTTTACAGGTAATKACGTTTACAGAAGAAAACAAAAGCAGAAGGTTGATCCATACAAAATAATCCAACATCCTATATTTTGATGTTGCGAGAATGTAAAATATTTTTCTTTCTTTAAAGATTTGTGWCTGCTCCAAGTTATTTTACGTTGTCTTTAAAGAAAAAAACTTTCAAACAGGTGAATCCTTCAATTGCAAAACTAGCAAAACTAAAAACCAAACATTTCTTTATTCTGAGATATCATGCTCAGAGTGTGTTGTGAATGACTCTTAGCTACTACCAGATGAATGTTGATGAATGTTATGAGCATTATCCAATATTTTTATATTTGCTTGCAGAATTTAACATGAGTCATGGTTTCCATGTGTTCTACATGTCAAAAAAAACATGCAGTCTATCACTCACTTACATAGAAAACATGCTTCAGCATCTGTGTAATAGCTTGAGGTATAGCAAGTCTTTTTGGCAAASTGTGTTTGGAGTCTGCTAAACATATTCACCAATCTCAGGAGGGAGCCAGTTAATTTTAGTCTGGAAACCATTAGGAGCGACAGAAAGATGAACCAGATTCAAGCTTTTAAATATAACTTTACTACTTCATGTGTGTTAGGGGTGGTGCGTGTGCGTGTGTGTTTGTGTACTTATTTTGACTACAGAGTGAGGACCATTTGCACCATAGTTACTGTCATAGTGAGGTCTTTGATGTAAAGTGAGGAACTGCTTAAATGTCCTCGCTTTGTTTGCAGCTCTGCTGTGCTTTACTGGTCAGGTTTAGAGGTATGGTGTGAATTAAGTTTTGGTTCAGGTTATGGTTAGCTATAGACCAGTAATGGTTAATTTTAGGGAAAATGTCTGGGTTAGGCATAAAGACAGTTACAAAAATGAATGGAAGTCAATACAAAGTCCTCAGTTTGATGCAAATACAAAGATGTGTGTGCATGTGTGTGTATAAGGCATTCATAAAGCTTCTGCCATTACTTTGAAGAGACATCAAATACTAATAAACAGTAAATAGATTAAAAAGAATAAAAATGTAAAAAGTAACTCATTTTTTTACTGAACCCTTGCTAACAGAATATAATATTAAATGAAAAATAAATCCTTAAAGTAAATCTGAGCAGAGGCAAGACCAATAAATTAAAAACACCAGTGTTCTCAATAAAACCAGGATCCCAGCAGCTGAAACACACACCAACTCACACACTTCTCACCATCTGTCAGCGTAACTGATCCGAACAAAAAAGTGTTTTTCKTTGTCAACGCTCAGATATTTGTTCAAGAACAGCTACAGAGAGACATTACATGTTTCTTTCTTTTGCTCATGATTACCTTTATTGTTTTAAAGATTAGCTTGTTTCACAGTTTGGTTTTGTAAAATGGTCAAACCAATTAAATTCWAAATATATAATGCTGTTTTTATAAAGACGTGTGTAAATGTTTGTTGTGAAAATCATGTTTTAGTTTTTTTTTTTACGCTGCCAGTTTTCTCAGTGGTACTAATTTAATCTCTGAACATGGTAATAGACCTGTCACCTGCTCTGCACYGGCTGTCAAGATAAACAATCAGTGTCTGTCTCGCTCCTTAATCCTCTGCTGCTCAGTCATTACTGTCCAAACGGAGCTCTGGGCTGCAGCGTTCAGTTCTGTTTGACCTTTCAGCTGATGAGACTGTTGCATTGTGTACATACTGTTGTTCTGGGGATGTGCGTCCAATAATTCTCTATAATAAACAAGAAGTTTTACTCCTTTGGAAGTATTCCTGAGTATAATGATCTCTTTAAGTCACCTAGTTTTAGATTTATATGGTTTTATTATCAGTTTATGATGGAAAAAAGTGATTATCCATGCAAATCTCATTTATTTCCTCCACCTGCTGTTTAAAAATGTTTTAGCTCATGATAAAAGACCATTGCTTTGCCTCCTAACATCTGCCTTTTCTTTTCCCTGCAGGCGAACCCGAGTTTAAATACATCGCCAACATGCACGGYAACGAGGCAGTAGGCAGAGAGCTGCTCATCTACCTGGCTCAGTACCTTTGCAACCAGTACCAGCAAGGCAACGAGACCATTATTGACCTCATCCAGAACACCCGCATACACCTCATGCCCTCCATGAACCCCGAYGGGTTTGAGAAAGCAGCCTCACAGGTGATGATACCCCTGAAAATCAGAGCCGCAAAGTTTTAAATTAAATCGTTGCAGCCAGTGTTAGATTAGCTATAACATGTTTTTGTTTTTAATGATGCCTGTGTGTGTGAAGTATCGATCAGTTTTATAGTTTGTGTTTACATGTCCTGTTTCCTGTAAAGCCTGGCGAGATCAAGGACTGGTTTGTGGGCCGCAGCAAYGCTCAGGGGGTGGATCTGAACCGGAACTTCCCCGATCTGGATCGCATCATCTACATTAACGAGAGGGAGGGCGGAGCCAACAATCACCTGCTGCAGAACATGAAGAAGGCTGTGGATGAAAACACAAAGGCATGCAAACACTTACTCATTAAATCACTGGTCACGTCCATTTATAGATTCACAATAATTAAAATAAAATGGGCAATAAGTAAAAAGAATCAGGCATTTGTGCACATTTCTGTATTTTCGTGAAGTTTCATGCAAGTTGGCATTTCTAACACAAACATGCTTTTAAAACACACCACAAAAAAGCTGAAACTGTGGTCATTTTTATGTTTCTTTTGAAAATGATTGTTATAAAATCAGTAGTTTGCAACCCAGTGTTACAGTCACAATGATCGTGCATTACAAGTAAAACCTACAACTATAGTGACAGATGTGTAGCCTCAGAGCGTTTGTGTTCATTTCTTACAAATGAAGTATTTTTATGTAAGCTTAAACTCCAAAAAATAACTTTATTGATCATGTGCAAACGGGTTACCTTTAATTTAATAATTAAATAATAATAATAATAATAATAATAATAATAATAAAGTGGCTATTTGTAGCAATGAGCTTACAGAAAATTGCCATGTTTGCATTTCCTTTATTAAACTTCTGTGTTTTACATAAAGAAATATAAACCTGTCAGTGCAACATGTATTCTTGTTTCTTTCACAGCTGGCTCCAGAGACTAAGGCTGTGATCCACTGGATCATGGATATTCCCTTTGTCCTCTCTGCTAACCTGCATGGAGGAGACGTTGTAGCCAACTATCCATATGATGAAACCCGCAGTGGTAAATACACAAACACACATCTTACAGGCACACATTGTGGTTTTTCTGTTGGACTCGTTAAATCKTAGTCGTATTTTTATGGATTTAATGAAACAAATATTTGAGTTGTGACTGAAACAACAAACTTTTTATTAGTTTTTTCCCCTCAGAAAGCCATAAATGTAACTCAAATCAGATGGAAATTGTTTCTTTTGACAGCGCTCTCAGTAATATTCCCATCAAATAAATTTACCAGGCATGTGTTTGATTTGTAGAAAATGTAGGTGTTCTGATGACACGTTATTGCAGTTGCTGTCTAAAACGTTGTTTTTCTCCCGCCATCTCCTCCTTAAAGGATCCACTCATGAGTACAGCGCCAGCCCGGACGATGAGATGTTCAAGTCTCTGGCTAAAGCTTATTCCATGTTCAATCCTGTCATGTCTGACCCCCATCGACCCACTTGCCGCAAAAACGACGACGACTCAAGCTTCAAGGATGGCATCACTAATGGTGGAGCATGGTACAGTGTGCCTGGAGGTGAGACACAACCTGTTGTCACTTTTGTTTTGGTAAAGATGCACTCGTGTGACGAAGGTCTCTTTTAAGATGTCAAATTACTGACAATTCTATCTTGTTAAAGGTCCTGCATGTTGAGTATAGTGACATCTTGTGGTTTAAATTGGGCATCACAGCCAACTATAGCCAACTGGTTTGTTTCTTTCAAATAAGGTTGCAGAAAATAGTTGCAAAAAAAAAAAAACAATTATGTAGTTTGATGTTATTTTTATTTCCTGCAATAGAATGGACAATATTGTGTGCATGTGTTTGTTTTTTCTGTCAAGTTAGTAAATTTTTTTTATGAACCACTCGACAGATTTGAATGAAATTCTCAGAAAGTAATAATACGAATAAAATGAATGTACATCTACAACTGATTATCTTCTGATGTAAACCCAATTCAAGATGGCCGCCTCCTTCAACCGACCTCATCAAACACAAAATTATACAACTCGGTCAGTTTTACAGGTACTGAGCTAAACTTTGATGTAGTAGCTGAAACTCAATGTTACTTTTAATGACTGATGAACACAATGTAATTTTGTCATTTCTCAAGATGAGATTATCATAATTTAAAATTCTGGAATAAAAGGTGGCGGAAAATATTTGTTACTTTAAAGAATGATAGGTCTTAATTTTTTTTAAATAACATTTATATTTTTAGAATTATTTTTAACAGCCAAAAGAAGAATAATTGTTTTATTTTTGTGATATTTTTCTAATTAGATGTA